GCCCGTACGGGGGTTGGCGGCCCCAAGAGGGCGGTAGCGGGCAAAGGAGCGGTGTCTGCCGCGGTGAAGCCGATCTTCAGCCGGGACCTGGGCGAGGCGAAGCGGCGCGTGAGGGAGCTGTACCGGGCCTGGTACCGGGAGGTGCCCAACGCGGGTGAGGGGCGCGGAGCCCGCCACGCATGCGCAGGCGGGAGCGTGAGCTCAAGGTCGTAATGGCCACCCCGCAGCCGTTGGGTTCTTAAAGGGCCCGTCGGGGGGTGCCGGTCACCCCGGGGCGGGGGGGGGGATGTGTCTGTGTGTGTCCTGCCTCCCCCCGCCACTGCCCCGGGGCCGGTGGACGCGGTTGCTGGGGGCCGTCCAGCGGCTGCGGCGGCTCCCCAGTGCAGCACAGGCCCGCCGCCCCCCGGGAGGCGGAACCCCGGCCTCCTCGGGCCTTTCCTGCCACTTGGCTTTCCGAGCTAAGCAGAGGAGAAATCTAGCCTTAATTTCGCAGAACGGGGGCGTGTGACAGGATTGCCTGCCCCGTAAAACCGCACCGCGGCTGTGGGGTTCACTCGCTTTCAGTCAGTCACGTCAGTGAAGCTGGCAGGGGCTGCAAGAACAGACGACTGTGCAGCGTGTTGTGGCGTTGAGCTGCACATTGTCCGTGGAAAAAACGAAAAGCAGTAAAGGTGACCTCTGTGGGTGTCTGTTTTTCGTAGTACACCTATACCAGCTGGACATCACAGTGAAACAGGGGCGCAACAAGGTGCGGGAGATGTTCATGAAGAACGCCCACGTTACAGATCCACGGGTGATAGACATGCTGGTTATTAAGGTACAGACAAGTTACTCGTGTTTTGTTGAAGCTGCAGACAATGTGAGAGCGGGTAATTGGTGGTGAGTGTGATGGAGGAGAGGGATAGTTTTTTATTTCGGCTTGCGCTATGGAGGAGTTGTCTCTTGCAATCCAGGTTGGTTTATCCCTGTCAGCAAACCTGTTGATAAGGGATCAAGCTGCTTCTGCGTGCAGAGGAGTAGGGTCTTAACTCACCTACGTCAGAGTTGCTAGAATATGGATTTCTGTCACTTGGTGTACTGGCTCTTCCAGTTTGCGCATGTTTAAAAGAGGAAGTCTATGGCAAGCAAAACAGTAGCTTAAATACCAAGTTTGTTGTTGCTTTTTTTTTTAGAAAACAATGGCAATCAAAGAAAGGGGAAAAAGATGCTGCTAGCTAGTTCACTGTTAAAAATTGTCTTTCTGCTCCCTACAGTTCTCCCTTAGATTGGGATGTGGTTTTCTTCACTGATTCTGAAACATACATTAGAGGGCCAGTACTTGGGGGGAGGCTGGCTTTGGGTGGCAAAATGCCCCAGCTCTAACACATCTGGTTATGCCTCAGGCCTGAGAGACCTGTCTGATTCAAAGCAGTAATCAGCATACCAAGAGTGGGGCAAGGCTTCAGAATGGGTCTGAGCAACAATAACTGACCTCTGCAGTTCTAGTGCATTAGAAAGCTTCCAGCCAAGGCCTGGTGTGCTCACCTGTTGTATTTCTTGCATTTCAAGACAGTTAGTCTGTCTTTTACATGATGAAAATAATCTGGAAACAGAATCCTAGATAACACGGTAGGTCACAATTCCAGGCAGTCTCATTTTGCCCTGTGCTGCCATACTCCGAAACTAGTACAATAACTCATAGTCTGGAGCATCACGAAGAAATTATGTTTAATATCTCTGTTGTGGTGATATTGGTGCAAAGCACTTAGCTGTAAAACTAAGTAAAATTGCTGCTAACTTGCCGCTATTAAAAAAAAAAAAATTAAATAGAGGCACATGGAAGTTAGGAATGTTATGTAGAATTTTATGGGGGTGCTGGTCATGAGAGAAACAAGGCAGGTTCTAAGAATGGGGCAGGGTCCCTTGCCTATTCCTCAGGGCTGGGAAGCTGTGCTGCAGAGACAAGCAACTTGTTAATATAGGACATGCAGCAATGAAGTCACAAGGCAGGAACAGTATATATGTTTGTGTCACAGTTCAGGCCATGCAAGCAGTCTTTAGAAGTACAGAACTGTTGATGCAGCTGTCTTAAGGGTGTTTCTAAGTGCATTCAAATAACTTTCATAGGGCTGTATAGTTAGATTCGGGCTCTAACTGAGAACTGGTCTAAAATTCTTCTGTCTCTGTGCAGGGAAAAATGGATCTTCAAGAAACCATTCAGGTATGGAAGCAGAGGACACACATCATGAGGTATTTCCATGAGACGGAGACCCCACGACCTAAAGACTTTCTGTCCAAATTCTATGCGGGCCACGATCCCTGAGAGATTGACTCTGTGTCTTTCTGCCTTATATTACAAATAAAGTTCTATATAGTAGAAAAAAAAATCTGTACAGAAAGATCATATAGCACATTAGGAGCATAATGACTAACTCTGAATCCAGAGTGTGTACAAGTTGTTATGATCTATATTAAGAGCTGTGATTTCCTAGTTTTGCCAATGTATGTCTTCAGTGGATGGAGTTTATCCCATCATTTGCCCTGGAGCGTCAGCTGAATAACCACAACGCAACCTGGCTGTGGCGCTTTCTGCTTAGCCTGCAGCCCTGTGCGTAGGTGTTAGGTCTGTGGAAGAAAGAGTGGGGCTTCAGAGAAGCCAGTGTAGTTGCAGAAATATTCTTGTGCTTGAAGCCCATCTGTATTCATGCAGTGTTTTGCAATTTCATGGCATGACATTGTTGATCCTGTGTTTTTTACTTGGACACTAGTCTCTGTTTACTTCCTCACAGAGAATGGTGTAAGATCCAATAGGCAAATAAAGCTCTTTGTGCAGTAAAAAGACCAGGAGAGTCCATTACCCTGCTGTAAAATGAAATACCTGGAAAAATATTTTTTGTACTGTTGTCTAGAATAGGGAGGCTCTGTAAGAGCTTCTGATGCCTAGCAGATGGTGTCCTACCATCACCTCCTTAACTGAATCAGGAATACTAGCTCCCTTTTGGGAAGGGTCAGTCAGAATGGGTTTTCAGTAGGTAACTTGGTGCTGGATCTTCCCTCGTGTGTGATCAGCATTGAATCTTTGTAGTATGCTCAAAGTTCTTTTTATCCTTGCCTAAATACTGGGGCTTTCTTCCCCATATGAGGACTGTAAAGCAGCACTCCTCAGGTTATGTGTACGTATGTGTAGGTAGGGGCTTTGGGGGTGGGATGTTTTTAAGGACAGGGTTGACACTGTCAGGAAGGGCCAGGAGATATGGTGGAATAAAGCAGTGATAAGGAATTTGGTAGTATAGAAAACATGAGTAGGGACATGTTTGGCTCCCAAGAGCAGATGAGCTGGAGCAACCCCTTCTCAGGCAGCTTTGGGGAAGGAGGGGGCAACTCAGATATAGAGTGACTCAAGAACCTGCCAGCTGCATTCAGCTACAGCTTTTGGGGCTACTTGGATTGCAGGCTCCCTTTGCTCTCAGTAGCTATGCTGGAGAGTTACAGAGCAAACATCAAAAGCAGTGTCAAATAATAAGGGAGCAAATGTGGCTGTTTGAACTATATGCTGTGCTAATGTGTGCAACATTAAAAGAAACTCTTTAACAGCTATGTGAATACTGAAGGGGAAAGTGGGCAGTCAAGAGAAGAGGCCAGCTCTAGTGACCAGAAACCATGAGACACCAGGGCAATGCTGGCTTAAAAAAAAAAAAAATATTGACTAACCTGTCAAGGTATTTGAGAAAACAGCTGCTCTGATGTGACTGAAGGTACTCTACGCATGCCCCAGCAGTAGAGAAAACCTTTTAAGTCTATTATACAAAGATTTAATTGCAATAGTAAACACTTCTATGTAAAGAAGAGTTGAAGTTCATATACAGTTGAGAAAATAAATATATTAGGGTTTATACAGAAGAAACTACTGAACCACCTAGAAAATACTAGGTACTTGGAGCCGGAGTGTTCAGAGATTAAATGCTATAAAACACATCGGTGAGTTAGTTTGCCTCTCATGATCTTAACCTTCTACCAAAACTACTCAAAACTTTTAACTCTGCGATGATAATACTGTATTTAATCCTCCATGAGATGAAATTAATGATATAGTCTCCATGAGATAGACCTACTAGGTTGTAAATCAGTGTTATCTGAACTGCGGTGCCAGTGTCAATATGCACTCCATTCTTTTAATGGGGCTGCTGCTTCCTCGAGGATTCCTGAAATGTACTGTAGATAAGTCCTTTCTGTAATTCAGTACTAATAGGAGGAAATAAATAGGAAGAGCGCCTCCTTACTGGAACAGATGTACGGCAGTAGAAAGGTTAAGACAGAAATGCTAGGACATAGGCACATCATCTATAAGAAGATGAGACCAAACTCATACATCTCAATCTCTTTATCTTTAATTAAGTGTTTCCCATATTGCTAATAAAAGGAATCCCAAGCAGTCTTTGATGAGGAGAGCGTGTGGGTGCAAGGATGCAGAGCCTATCAAGCACTTCCTTCAACCCTGATCTACAGATTTCCGTCATATAGACATGCGCAGGACACTCACTGGCAAAGGAGATACAGAGCCCCCTGTCCCATTCAGGAAGGACAAAACACAGGTGACATGTTGGAATCATTGCTTTGTCAATGGTTTTCTCCCTTCTGTTCTTCCATTATGGTTCTGCAAATAGAATAATAAGCCGTTACTCTTCAGATAGATACACTGTACTCAGCTCCAGTCCATACCCTCCCCCCGAACCACACACAATGGGGGTTTACATAAAAGGAGTTTCTAACAGGCCATTGCAGTCTTCAGTCTTTTAATTCCTTGTTTTTAGCTGCACAGTGCATGCTGGAAAATCCCTTTATCAAATGGAATACATCTACCAAACTGATTATAAAGCAACACTATTTACAACAACACTATTTACAACAACGTCTTTAAAACAGCTTCTTTAGTCTATAAAGAATCAAATACACCCAAACACAAATCTTTACACAAGGGCAAGCCAAACAGAGTAACATAAAATGGTGGAAAGCGTAGTGTAGTGTACTCCAGATAAAGGTGAATTATTTCTGCTCTTCCTTTACCCAATGAGTCTGACCGGTCCAACTACTCCAGCAGTCAGTGTTGTAACACCAGACTGTTTGTTCTGACAGGTTCTGGAATTCTCTTAAATTGTCCACCTCTGTATCAGAATTTCATACCAATAAGTGATTCTCTTTTAAAATAGTCATTCTGTGAGTTAGCAGAAGACTTTTAAACAGGTAAACATGTAGAATAGAATCATAGAATCTTTTAGGTTGGAAAAGACGCTCAAGATCATTGAGTCCAGCTGTTAACCCTACACTGCCAAGTCCACCACAAAACCTTGTCCCTAAGCACCACGTCTACATGTCTTTTAAAGACCTTCAGGGATGGTGACTCAACCACTTCCCTGGCCAGCCTGTTCCAATGCTTGATAGCCCTTTTAGTGAAGAAATTTTTCCTAATATGCAATCTAAACCTCCCCTGGCACAACTTGAGGCCATTTCCTCTTGTCCTATTGCTTGCTACTTGGGAAAAGAGGCTGACCCCCACGTCGCTACAACCTCCTTTCAGATAGTTGTAGACAGCGGTAAGGTCTCCCCCGAGCCTCCTTTTCTCCAGGCTAAACAGCCCCAGTTCCCTCAGCTGCTCCTCATAAGACTTGTGCTCCAGACCCTTCACTGGCTTTGTTGGCCTTCTTCGGATGCATAACGTAGTACCGCTGAAGTCCCTCTTTTCTGTCTGCAGTATAGACCCTCACTGACTACAGTTTATTTCTGATTCAAATTACAAGATCTAGAACACCATCAGTTTATTCTGATGTCTTAACGAACGCGTGTTGTGGAGATTTACACATTCATACACCAGTCTGGCCTACTTTGGTATAAAAAAGCAGAAGAGTTCATAGCCAGAAGCAATACCATATCTGCATGTTTAACTGCAAACACGCCTTTCAAGCTGTTGCTGTCTGTATTTCCTAGTCTGAGATTCTCCTCCCTGCCCCAAGCCAAACAGGAAGCACAAATAATTAAGATTGCTGGCAACGTTAATGACATACCCTTTAATCATCGTCGTCGTCATCCTCTGGGACAAAGATGTCATGTTCTTCAAGTAGGGCTGCGAAGTTCTTACTGATCTGAGTCCCAACGTACAGGAAGGGGATCACAACGCTGAATACTCTGAGGAGGCCGAAGGGCGTCTGCGAGGAACAGACTGATCTTTACCAGCAAGCTGCACTTGGCTGAACCCACGTACTCCCTCCCGGCCTCCACAGGCGCGCAGCGGCAAGCACGTTTTGCCCTCCCTCCTGCCAAACCCCCGGCCACCGCATCGCACTCTGTTGTACAGAAACTCCGGCACCGGGAGAGGAGGAACCCGCGGGGGGCTCGGGACAGGGAACACCAGCGGCTTAGGCAGGGAGAGCGGCTGCCGGTGAGAAACGGCGGCGTACAGGCGGGCGCTCGTCTCCTCCTCACGGCGCAGCGACCGCCGCCGGCTCGGCGGGAAACAGGCCGCCCGGGGCCCGCCGCCCTCCCGCGAGCGGGCGCTTCCGCACCCCCGCCCCGCCCACAGCCGCCCCGCTCATTAGCCTAGAACCTGTCACTCGCTCCCGCCGCCCCGCCCGCAGCAGCTGCGCACACACCGATTGGCCACCGCTGCCATCCGTCACGCCGCGATTGGCTGCCGCCCCCACCGGCTCGCCCCTCGCTCACCTTAACCGGCTTGGGCAAAATGGCGCCGCTGCGGGTGACGGTGGCGCTCCGGGAGGGCGCAAGCGGCGCGGCCGGGCCGCGGTGCGGCCCGCCCCAGCCCGCTCGCCCCGAGTAAGCCGCGGCTGCCG